ACGACGACGACGACGACGACGACGACGACGACGACGACGACGACGACGACGACGACGACGGCGGCGGCGGCGGCGGCGGCGGCGACGACTACGATGACGGGGAAGCTCGCGGACTAGGGATGAGGGGCAGGGAGGAGCGATGCGGGGGCGGAGCCGGGATGGAGGAGAGGAGGAGGACGCCCCGGAAGAGGAGGGCACGCAGGACGAGGAGCAGGACGACGCCGAGACAGCGGGCGGCGAGCGCGACGCCGACGACTGGCCGAGGCCCCATGGCCTCCACCATCGCGGAGCACCCGGCGCCCGCGAGGCTAGAGGCCCCGAGGCCCGGGCCGAGCGCGGGGCGAGAGGCGGCCGAGCGGGGGCGGCCGGGGCCAGAAGTGCTGGGGCCGAAACGGCTGGCTGTGGTCGTCGTCGTCGTCGTCGTCGTCGCCGTCGTCGTCGTCGTCGTCGCCGTCGCCGTCGTCGCCGCCGTCGTCGTCGTCGTCGCCGTCGTCGTCGTCGTCGTCGTCGTCGTCGTCGGCGGCAGGGCGAGCGCGACGCCCCATGAGCACGAAGGCGGGGAAGGAGGATCACGCGCCACGAAAGGAGAGAGAGAGGGAGAGAAACGTCCGACGGTTCAGCGAAAATCCCCAGGGGGGGGGGGGCCCTCGGAGAGAGCCTTCTGTGCCCCCACAGCACGGCCTCCGAACGACCGCACCGAGGGCGGCGGGGAAAGAGGAGGAAGGAAGATGAGGGCAGAGGAAGGAGGAGGAGGAGGAGGAGGAGGAGGAGGAGGAGGAGGAGGACGAGGAGGAGATCCGTAGCCATTTGGGCTCAAGAGCTTGTCCGACATTGTACACGTCAGCTTCACGGCCTTGGGCGCACAGGCACGGCGCCGGCCCCTCTGGGCCACACGTCTGTTTTTTCTTCTGTTCTGCACTAGGGGGCCACGCGGGTGCTCATCGGTGTTGTGCTCCCCGACGGCACTCGGGTGTACTTCGATGATGCCAGCGCCGCGCAGCGAGGAGGAGGAGGAGGAGGAGGAGGAGGAGGAGGAGGAGGAGGAGGAGGAGGAGGAGGAGGAGGAGGAGGAGGAGGGGGAGGAGGAGGGGAGGGAGGAGGAGGGGAGGAGGAGGGGGAGGGAGGAGGGGAGGAAGGAGGGAGGAGAGAGGAGGAGGAGGAGGAGGAGGAGGAGGAGGGGATGGAGGAGGAGGAGGAGGGGGGAGGGAGGGGGAGGGAGGAGGGGGGGAGGAGGAGGGAGAGAGGAGGAGGAGGAGGGAGGAGGAGGAGGAGGAGGAGGAGGAGGAGGAGGAGGAGGAGGAGGAGGAGGAGGAGGAGGAGGAGGAGGAGGAGGAGGAGGAGCAGCAGTTCACAGACCAGATGGTGAAGATCTCGGGGAAGGCGGCCGCTCGACGCGGCAAAGAGGCCAGGCTCAGGCCAGACTCGGCGTGCCCTCGTCTCGCCCCAAGCACAGCACCACGAGCTCAAAGCTCGTGAGCAGCTTGCAGGGCCCCACTGGGCCTGTAAGATTGCGGACCTCGCAGTCCAGGGAGGAGACAGGGCGGCGGCAAGGAACGTGTCTCAGCACGCCCTGTTTGGAGGAGCTGAAGCGCAACCTCGGACGCGTGGTGGAACCAAACGAGTGTAGCGCCGTGGGCGGCACCAAGCAGGGGCGGTCTCACCCACAGCCTCCCCCACAGCCAGCCTACCTTTTAGCGACAGGGGAATGTAGCTCAGACGAGCCGCTAAAGGAGGAAGAGTTCATTGAGAGTACCTCCGTGGAGAACTCCTTGTCCTCAAAGGAGTTGGACGCTCCAGATGTGGCGGGGGGCCAAGATGAATGATGTCAAAGACATCCTCATGATTTTCCGTGCCGACGTACGTCTGGGGTGCACTTGTCAGCAGACCACCAGGAGGAGCCCTTCGAGCCAGGCGGCGGCCTGGCCAGCTACACGAAGGAGCCATTCGAGCCAGGCCAGTGCCTGGCCGGCCACCAGGAGGAGCCCTTCGAGCCAGGGGCGGGCCTGGCCAGCCAGGAGGAGGAGCCCCTCGAGCCAGGCCGCGGTCTGGGCAGCCCCACCGGAGAGGACCAGGACGAGCCCCTCGAGCCAGGGGCGGGCCCGGCCTTCCACAAGGAGGAGCCCCATCGAGCCAGGCAGCGGCCTGGCCAGCCACGCGGAGGAGCCCCATTGAGCCAGGCAGCGGCCCGGCCAGCCACGAGAGGGGGCCTCTCGAGCCAGGCGGGGGCTTGGTCAGCCAAGAGCAGGAGCTACTCCTCGGGCCAGGCAGCGGCCTGGCCAACAACAGGGAGGAGCCCTTCGAGCCAGGCAGCGGCCTGGCCCACCAGCGGGGCGCAGAACCGCCCCGAGGGTGCAGGGGCACCCGCGGGCAAGGGGAAGCAGGCGCAGGGATGCCTGGGAGGGACGCCCTCCTTGCCCATCGCTGCCGTCAGGACAGCCGAGGACTCGGGCAGTGGCGTCGGAGTCGTGGAGCCAGCTTTCGAGTGTGCCGCCCTGGTCGCCCAGAAGGACGAATTCCGCGTGCCCTGCTTCACACCCAGGCCCCATGCGATGCCCAGGTCGCCTGCTTGCATCAGGCACTGCGTTGCCTGTGGCTCCAGGAAGCAGCTGCGTAGAAGATTGCAGAAGGCTAGGCCCATCCCGTGCTTTGATTGCAATCTCGAGCAGTAGGGGGCTGGATAGGGGGGGGAGAAGATTAGATGCAACTGGAAGAGGAGGAGTGACTGGCGTTCACACGCAATGCCCCCCAGAGTCCGCAAAATTTTGAATGCCGCTGCTCTGCGCAGGCGAGTGCTGGCTTCTTCTTGAGTGGCCCCGGGGAAAAAGATTGCTGCCACTGCTGTGCACCGGGACTCCGTGGGTGACTGCTTCTGCTTGCTTGCTCCACCACCTCCCACCCTCCCAGGGCGCTGGACTGGCCCGCCGAGGAGGCCCATCGGAGGATTGGGGAGGAGCTTTCTTCGAGGCTTCGACGGTGCCTGCCGTCTTTCCCCGCTTGTCCTGCCTCCCCTCGGCCTCCCTTCTTCTCCCCGGGCACCGTCTTGGCCTTCGCTTTCCTTGCCCGTGGGCCCGTCCCATCATGCCTCCCACCTCCCAAGCATTGGCGCTGGCCAAGCCCTCCTCCCTCTGGTCCGTGTTGTTGCCCTTGTCCTCGCCTGCGACCCACCCCTCCGCGACCCACGCCGCGACCCCACTTCGCGACCCCACCCCGCCCGACCCCCCCCGCGACCCACCGCGCGACCCACTCCGCGACCCCCCCCGCGACCCCCCCCGCGCGACCCACCCCGCGACCCCACGACGCGTGACCCACCCCACGACGCGCGACCCCACCCCGCGACCCACCCCGCGCAGCCCCGCCCCCCGCGCTCGCCCCTGCCGAGCGGCCGCCCGGCGCCTGCGACCCCCGCGCCGTGGGAGGGAGGGCCGGGGCGAGGACGGCGACGAGGGCGACGACGACGACGACGACGACGACGACGACGACGACGACGACGACGACGACGACGACGAGGACGACGACGACGACGAGGGCGAGGACGAGGACGACGACGACGACGACGACGACGACGAGGACGACGACGACGACGACGAGGGCGAGGACGAGGACGACGACGACGACGACGAGGGAGACGACGACGACGACGACGACGACGACGACGACGACGAGGACGAGGACGACGACGAGGGCGACGACGACGAGAGCGACGACGACGGCGGCGACGACGACGGCGACGAGGACGAGGACGACGACGGGGTGCTGCGTATCTCACGTGCCCTCCCCTGAGATCCGACGCAGCGAAGAAGCTGCAACATCGCGAAAAGCCGCGACCGGAGCCCCGGACCCCATCTTCCTGCGTCACTTCTCGGGCCGGATCGATCTGCGAGGGCCCCGGGGCCCGCAAAAAAGGGCGCAAACGCCCGGCTCGAAAAAAAATGGAGTCGCCAGGATCTCAGGGCCCCTGCCCCTCGCCTCCGCGTTCCCCCGTGGCTCCCCGACGACGACGAGGGCGACGACGCCGAGGGCGACGAGGACGAGAACGAGGACGACGACGACGACGACGGCGACGACGACGAGGGCGACGACGGCGACGAGGGCGACGACGACGACGGCGGCGACGAGGACGAGGACGATGACGGGATGCTGCTCCGTGTTCCCCCGTGGCTCCCCGAGGGCGGGGGGAGGGGCCGTCCTCGTCGGACTGCGCGGGGTCGGGGCCCTCGAAGGGCTCCGCGGGGTCCACGGGCTGGCCCCCACGGTCGCGTGGCCACCCGCAGAGGGCAGGGAGGCTCTCCTCCTCCTCCTCCTCCTCCTCCTCCTCCTCCTCCTCCTCCTCCTCCTCCTCCTCCTCCTCCTCCTCCTCCTCTCCCTCCTACTCCCCCTCCTCCTCCCCCTCCTCCTCCCCCCTCCTCCTTCCTCCTCCCTTCCTCCTCCCCCTCCTCCCCCTCCTCCTCCTCCTCTCCTCCTCCTCCTCCTCCTCCTCCTCTCCTCCTCCTCCTCCTCCTCCTCCTCCTCCTCCTTCCTCCTCCTCTCTTTCCTCCTCGTTCTTCCTCCTCCTCCTCCTCCTCCTCCTCCTCCTCCTGCTTCATTGTTTGGCACTGCACCGGCATAAGCAACCAAGCTGGTCCTCCTCCTCCTCCTCCTCCTCCTCCTCCTGCCGTCCCTCGTCGTCGTCCTCACCCTCATAATCATCAGTCCTCCGACTCATCCTCCCCCTCTTCCCCCTCCCCCCTTTTTCTCATCCTTGTCCTCCTCCATCCTCAATCCTCCTCCCTCCTCCTCTTCCTCCTCTTCCTCCTCCTCCTCCTCCTCCTCCTCCTCCTCCTCCATCTCTTCTCCTTTCAAATGACTCCTCCCTGTCGCACCCCGAGGCGTGTCGGTAGGATGGGCTGGGCATTTCGCCTGAGACTTCCTCACTGTGTAAGATCGTCAAACTTAACATTTGCAACATCTTCACGGATGGAGGGCGGGCCGTTTTCAACATGTGATTCTCGCCTTGGCGCCGCGCACATTCGTCTGAAAAGGTCGCAAGAGTTTCACGGACTGAGGGCGGGTGGTGTTCAAAATGTGGCTCTCGGCTTGGCGCCGCGCGCACTCGTTCGAAAAGGTCGCGAGAGCTTTACGAATGGAGGGCGGCTCCATTTCAAAATGTGACCGTCGCCGCGCACAGTCGTCTTGAACGTTCGCAGGGGCTTCACGGGTGGAGGCGCGGCTCCTCTCCAAAACGTGGCCCTCGCCTGCGCGCCGCGCACATGCGTCGTAAGAGTTTACGACGGCTCGAGGATTCTCATGGCTGGCGTCCCAGAAGTGGTGTTTGTTGATTCTGACTACCTACCAGACCACCCTAACCCAACCCGAAGGCCCGAATTTCGGGTCGGGGGGGGGGGGTAAGGGTTCCATACGTGTTTTTTCGATGTTCCGCGCCCCCCCCCCCCCACTGGAAATGGAGGGCAAATCTGAGCCTTCGGGTTGGGTTGGGGTGGTTTGGTGGGTGGTGAGATTCGCGGCGTTGACGTCGCAGCAAGTGGTCCGGGCACGATACAGGCTCGCCGGGACGCAGCAGTCGCGCAGCCACGCTGGTTGGCGTGGCGGCGTTGAAGACCCGGGAAGGGTGTTCGGGCACGGTGCAAGATTTTCAACCGGTTATCTTCCAAAGGGGCACTTCCCTCAGTGAGAGTGAACCCTGGTAGGGGCCCATGATGAGGGAACTTGGTGGGGGATGTTCATTGCAACGTCGTGGATGAGTCTTGGGTTTAAACCGGTCCTCCTCCTCCCTCCTTCTCCTCCTCCTCCTCCCTCCTTCTCTTCCTCCTCCTCCTCCTGTTCCTCCTCCTCCTCCTCCTCCTCCTCCTCCTCCGCTCGCCTTCTTGTATCGGGGGGGGCCTCGCTCTTCCTGGCCCCCCTGGCCCCGAGGGCGGCCAAACAACCATGGGGCTGGGCCATATTGGCTTCGTCCTCGCTGTCGGGCACCTCCTCCAGGACCTCGGTTCGCGAGGGCGAAGAGGAGTGATGATAGAAAGAGGGGGAAGGAGCAAGACGCTTGGGAGAAACAGGAGGAACAGGAGCACGGGTGAGATGAAAAGGTCGGATGAGGAGGAGCAGTAGAAACAAGAGCAGCTTGAGGATCCTCCCGCCCCTGCTCCTCTATGACCTGGGTCAGCGAAGGTGACGAAAAGGGGAAGCCCAGAGGCGAGAGAACTGAGTGGTTTCAGTCCGAGGGCAACTTCGACGATGATTGGACAGTAAAAGGAGCGAGAAGAATAAGGAGGGAGAGACAACGCATAAGAAACAAAACTGGACCCATACTGCTTGCCAGCGCTGAACCGGAACAGTGAGTTGCCTGGTGAGTCCTTGAACTCTCGGTGTATGTGCGAGCTGCGTGGTGCAGGCTATGTGATGCAAGGCGTGCTGTGCGCGCTGTGTGGTGCAAGCTGTGTGGCGCAAACCGTGTGGTGCAACAGATGTGACGCAGGCCATGCGATGTAGGCTGTGCGGTGCACGCTGTGCGGTGCCACCGAAGCGTCGGCCAGCGCACGAGAGGCGCCCACGGCGCGCCCGCGTGCGGCGGCCGGGCGAAAACCCCTGGGGGAGCGCCGCCAGCGCACGGGAGGCGCCCACGAGGCGCCGACCGGCGGCGGCCGGGCAAAAGCTCAGGGAGCCGTGGCAGATACGCAGGAGAGTGAAACAGAAGCCCTTGGTGCAAGCACGTTCTAGCAAACGAGGAGGGAGAGCAGACATTGGGAATGTCCCGTCAACCCGCATCATAAGGATGGGCAACCTTCCCAAGGGTACCCTTGCGCCCTTGCCCCCCCCCCCGGCCCATCGTTGACGACTCTCGCTGGCCAGCCTCTTTCGAAAAACGCTAACGTGGCCCTCCAAAGCCCTTGCAACCTTACCGCGCATCCTTATGATGCGGGTTGACAGTATCAAGTACTGGGGCAGGTGACAGAACGCAGAGGGGACTGGTCCAGGGACAACGCGCGCTATCGAGCGCGCATCCGATACCAGCGGGCTGGAGGAACAAAACACAAACACCTTTCCGAAGCGGGGCCGCAAGTGCGAAGAAACACCTGCGCGACGCTCTGGCGGAAATGACGTTTGGCTCAATCGTTCGCGCTGTGCGCCGCGTCTCACTCCTGCCACACTTTTTGCGACATTGCATGCAAATCGTGCATGTTGAACATCGATTACGCAATGCAATTTGACAGGGCAAGATAGAACCGCAAACGTAGGATTGCCACCGCGGCGAGACACGGTAGTGGGAGTATTTGATGGCAAGAAAAACGGTAAGAGCCAGAGCAGGACCAGGACCAGGAATGGGATTAAGACGAGACGTGGGAGGAAGGGTACAAACTAGGGGGAGACGGCCGCGAAGACACCAAAGACATGGCCTTGGGTCAAATCCGTTCGATCCACACGGCGGTTGTGGGAAGTTTTAGCCCAGGGTTGCCCAGGGCCGAAGCAGGACGCCGAAGAAGAGGGCTGGGAGAATAAATGCGTGAACGACTCCTTCCTCCTCACGCACTTTGACGCTCTCAACCTCTTCGCCATGGCCGTTGGCGTTCTGCTGCGCTCGCTGCCCCCTCAACAGCCAGAAAGCGAGATGAAAAACGGCTCAGAAGCCCGGAGACACAGTATGTCCCACTTCGGCTGCGCATGACTCCGACAAGGAAACCACCGAGACACGTGCATCGACCGCCTTCAGCGCCAAGGCGCTGAAGAACACCCTCTGAGCTTCACGCTGCTGCCGCGTCGGCGCAGGCGTCGCGACTCCGGAGCCGCTGCGACAGGAGCTTGGCGACTGCAGCGGGATATGAAAGAACTGCGTGCGGCCCAACGGCTCGGGTACGGACATATCCTCCTTGGCCATAATCTTCACTTGCTACTGCTTTTCGGCCAAAGGCTAGCATCAATGGGCTGTCGTCTGAAATCCTGAACCACCGAAGCAAACAAAGCTTCATGTAAGTCAACCTGTCCTTGACAGTCCATGGAACAATCACTAACCGAACGCCCCATGTAGCGCAAAGCGAGTGTTTCAAGTCGTCCCGGTCACGCAGCTCATCAAAACAGCTTCCCGTACGCTTGTTCCAACATGCAAGAGGATTGTAATGCTGCTCGCCATTGAGCTCAAAAGCAAGGTTCAGAGCAACGCAATATCCATCCAGCTCGAGTGGAATGCCTTTCGCACCCTTCAAGAAGGTAGGCCGACGAGTAGGAAATGTGCGGCCTGGAAAGATGGACTCGAATATTGAACGGACGTCCCGCTGAAGGCGAGCGCATGCTTCTATACTGGCTAGACAAACATAACCATTTGCGTTCATGCGCCACGGTCGCAGCATCGTCAAGGCTGAACTGGGCATTTCTGGCACAATGCGGGCACCACGACTTGAGATGCAGAGTATTCCGCGGAGGTGCATTCCATTGGTGTCCCTTGTGGCACTGCCAAGACGTTTTTTCAACACAGTTTTTGCAATATTCCGACACGCGCAAGCCTCCGCGGAGAGTCGCTGCCTTTTGAGCTGTACCTGAGCATTGCTTCGCGACCCTGAACCTCCGTGCAGCCTCTCGCATGGCTAGCACTACTTGAATTAGGGGTTGCCTCGAGAAACAGCTTGAGCCAAAGCGGCTCGAGCCAAAGGCTGCGGAGGGCTGGTGCCCCTTCACTTGTCCAAGCAGCGCTGCATGGCAGTGGCCGTGCCAGGGCAGAGGCTCCAGACGTTAATTTCGCTCCAGACGCTTGCTGGTGAAATCCTGGAATTCCGAACGCAGGTCTTGATCGGCTCGCGCTGCTCTGTGATCCCTCCATGAAATCGCGGGTACATGCGGCCGACTGAGCGGAGATTGCGTGTACGCATCAGATCTCCACAGAGCTCGAACTTACGATGATTTGAACAGGGACAGAACCAACGGGGGGGCCTGTTCCACGTAGCACCCCAAAGTGCCATCGCAGTTCTGGATTGGGTTGTAAGATGAGCCGAAGTCGCCCATCGACTTTCGCAGAGGCGACTCCCATCCTCAAGTGCGTGTGTTCCGCCGAGGCCGATGCAGACCGAGTGGGTGGAGATTTGCAGATTTGTGCCTCCAAACCTGAATGCTGCAGCGTCTTGGGGGAGCCACAACAGGCTGGAGGATACAGTCACCTTCATCGCACCGCTGAAATTCTTGAAAGGCTGCACGTTGAACCTACTCATTAACCCGAAAACGCTACAATCTGAACCAAGGCTTACGCGATGAGACATTAACGCTTCAACCGAAAAAAATCGTAAGATGATTGCTAGTCCTCTCTTTCCTTGAGGTCCAGATCCGATTCGGTTTCGCGAGGGATCCGCTGCCTCGCTCGAGAACCCCACTCGTCGCTGCGCCGGGCGCGACCGTGTGCACCGAAGAGGATGGCTTCCCCTATACGACCGCCCTGCGGGCGATAAGGAAGTTGGGGGGGGATTGAAATCAAACGCCCACCCTGACTGACCTCCAGCCGAGGAAGCGTGTGAGCCTTAAAGTGCGCGGCCTTGCACCCCGCAAGGTGCATGGGGCTGGTGGCGGCTGCACTTGCCCTCGACTCCGCCGCCGGTCGCCGTGGCTTCCGTCCCGTCGCCCACCGTGCTGCACCCCTTCCTGTTCTCCAGGCGGGGCCTGCCCTGACGCCGAGGAGGGAGGAGGAGGACGACGAGGAGGAGACAGGGGGGAGGAGGAGAAGGAGGAGGAGGAGGAGGAGGAGGAGGAGGAGGAGGGGGATGAGGAGGAGGGAAGGAGGAGGGAGGAGGAGGAGGAGGAGGAGGAGAACGAGGAGGGAGGAGGAGGAGACGACGAGGAGGAAGGAGGAGGAGGAGGAGGAGGAGGAGGAGGAGGAGGAGACGACGAGGAGGAGGAGGAGGATGAGGAGGAGGAGGAGGAGGAGAGACGGAGGAGGAGGAAGGAACGACGAGGAGGAGGAGAACGACGAGGAGGAGGAGGAGGAGGAGGAGGAGGAGGAGGAGGAGGAGGAGGAGGAGGAGGAGGGGGGGAGGGGGAGGAGGAGGAGGAGGAGGAGGAGGAGGGAGGAGGAGGAGGAGGAGGAGGAGGAGGAGGAGGAGGAGCAGGAGGAGGAGGAGGAGGAGGAGGAGGAGGAGGAGGAGGAAGGAGGAGGAGGAGGAGGAGGAGGAGGAGGAGGAGGAGGAGGAGGAGGAGGAGGAGGGGGAGGAGCGCCCTGGGCGTTTCGACCGGCCGCGCCACGAAGCTGCCCCTGCGCAGGCCGCCGTCCCCTCCAGGCGGGAAAGCCTGCGAGAGAGGGTGCGCCAGGCTCGCGTCGTGGCGACTTCGGCGTTGGCTTCTGCCACCGCGGGGATCGTCCAACCTTGAACGATCGGCCGTTTCCGAAACGTCCAAGTCGTTCCATGTCGAGCGATTCTGGGTCGCCCGCGGCGTTCAAAGTTGAACGCCGCTGGCGGCGTCGCCGCCAGTCGACACGACGCAAACCTACCGTACATACGGCCAGACCTCGGACAGAAGAACATCCTTCAAGAACACAGGGCCCACATCCTTCAAGAACGCAGAACCTCAGAACACAGGGCCCTCAGACCCTGCCAGCCTGAAAAAGATCCGAGGGCACCCTCCCCCAGGATGCACGAGAACATCCAACAAGCACGAAGAACCTTCGGGCGTCCTCCCCACACCAACCTAGATTCGATCTCATGCCTCGCCCCGGCCGCAGTGCAGAACGCGGAGAAGGGCGAGATGATGGGGCAGGCGAGCGGCAGAGCCGGCCGCGGCAGCGGGGCTGGCAGGCAGCGCCGGCCCCATGCCTCACGACTTCAGGGGCTTCAGGCCCAGGGATGCCCGCACGTCGTTCCACCCCTCGACCGAGAGCTCGCCGTCCTTCGGGTGACCACATGCGGACCCTACCTCCCCACCCACCCCCCGACTCCTCGGGGGGGGGGGGCGGGCGGGGGCTCCTCTCGCTCGGGGGAGCTCCCGAACGAAGTCAACCCCCACGCGCCCCTCGGCATTCGTGGGGGGGGGGGGATCGGCGGGCGTTCCTCTCGCTCGGGAGCTGCCGGACGGAGCGGGCCCCCACCCACCCCTTCGAAATCGGGGGGGGGAGGGGGGGCGGGGGGGGTCATTTCGCTCGGGCTCTCCCGAGCGAAGTGAGCCTCCACCCGCCCCCTCGAGATCGTGGGGGCAGTGAGTGCTCACAGGTGGTCGCCGATCCTTCTCCTTCTTCGGGCCGCCCTTCTCTTTCTTCTCCTTGCGGCGGCGCGCACAGAGGGGGGAGGAGGAGGAGGAGGAGGAGGAGGAGGAGGAGGAGGAGGAGGAGGAGGAGGAGGAGGAGGAGAGAGGAGGAGGAGAGGAGGAGGAGGAGGGAGGGCGAGGCGAGGGCGAGGGCGAGGAGGAGGAGGTGGAGGAGGAGGAGGAGGCGGGGGGCGAGGGCGATGGCCGAGGGCGAGGAGGGGAGGAGGAGGAGGGAGGAAGGAGAGGAGGAGGAGGAGGAGGAGGATGGAGGCGGGGGGCGGGGGAAAGGCAGCAAAGGGGCGGGGCCTCTTCGAAGCTCGCCTGGGGGGGGGGGGGCTCTGGCCTCCCGGGAAGCTTCCTGAGCCTTCTCCGCCCTGCCACCGTCGACGTCCACCTCCCCGTGCATCGCGCGCGCCTCGCGGCCTCGCGCGCGCGCCTGAGAGGAGGAGAGAGGAGAGGAGGAGAGAGAGGAGGAGGAGGAGGAGGAGGAGGAGGAGGAGAGGAAAGGAGGAGGAGGAGGGTGAGGATGAGGAGGAGGAGGAGAGGAGGAGGAGGAGGAGGAGGAGGAGGTAGAAGGAGTAGGAGGGGAGGAGGAGGAGGATGGAGGGGGAGGAGGAGGAGGAGTAGAGAGAGAGAGAGGAGGAGAGAGGAGTGGAAGGAGGAGTAGAGGAGAAGGAGTTGAGGGGAGAGGAGGAGGGGGAGGAGGAGGAGGAGGAGAAGTCACGGGTCCCCCCAAAGAGGCTACCCGGTGTGGCCCTCGCCGAGAGGAGATGCCACGCGTCCGAGCGGCGGCCAGGCCCCGCCGCCCTCTCTGAGGAGGCCCGCCCGCCCTCGCCGCCCCCCCCTCTTGCCATCGCTCGGACGTCCACTCCAAGGGCTCCCAACTCCTCCTCCCCCCTCCTCCTCCTCCTCTCCCCCTCCCCCTCCTCCTCCTCCTCCTCCTCCTCCTCCTCCTCCTCCTCCTCCTCCTCGCCGTCCTCATCCTGACAGCCCCTCCAGCAGCCCCTCGCCCTCCTCCTCGCTCGGACGTCTTCGCGCTTCGCGCTGCGAGAAGCGCGAAGTGCGAACAACTCCGCGCTCTCGCGCCGCCTCCCAGGGGAGAAGAGGGGGATGAGGAGGAACCGGAGCCGAAGCGCGAAGCGCGAATAACTTCGCGCCCTCGAGGGCGCCCTTGCATTCCCTGTGCATTTTTCGGTTTCGTGCGTGCTTTTGTTTGCTCGATGGTCCAGGATGCTCCGCCAAGGTCCTCGCCGAGAGAAAACGTGCACGCGTCCGAACGATGCCAGGCCCTCGGCGCGCACCCGGTCCTTCTTCTCCTTCTTCTCCTTCTTCTCCTTCGCCGCCTGTCGCCAGCACGCAAGAGCGACCCTTCGGCGGTGGACAAGCCTCCCTTTAGTAAAGCTCCCCTTTAGTGAAAACGGCCTGGGACCGAAACCGACGGACCCGGACCCGCAGAAAATGACGGCCGCGACGCCCTCTCGCGAACCGAAAACGGCAAATTCCTCAATCGACGTGTCAGGGTAGGAGGTCAATCCGCCTCCGAAAGTGAAGGGGCCCTGGGACACACAAGTAAATGGACACAAGTAACCAGGTTCCCCATCTTTTCCCACATCTTCTGGGTTTTTTTCTTCCCCCCCACTTCCCATATTTTCTAATTTTTTCTGGGGGATCGACGATTAATTGTGTGTGTGTGTGTGTGTGTGTGTGTGTGTGTGTGTGTGTGTGTGTGTGTGTGTGTGTGTGTGTGTGTGTGTGTGTGTGTGTGTGTGTGTGTGTGTGTGTGTGTGTGTGTGTTTCCCTCCTGAGAAAGAGCGACCCTGGGCAGGAGTGGCCCTCGGTGCGCGGCGCTCGGGGGCCGCGGCGGGGCCCGCACCAGAAGATCACCCCCGCGAAAGGTCACTCTGAAGGGGCCCTGGGACACACACACACAATATATATATATATATAGATTATATATATATATATATATATTACATATATATATACATATATATATATGTATACACCCCGACCCTCCGCTTGTCTTCGGCGCAGCCAGAGTGCTGTGTTCAAAGGAAGAGGGCCCGCCCGAGCTACCCAGAAGTTTTGAAAAAAAAACACACACACACACACACCAACACAGGCCCACACTGGCCCACGCCAGCCCACCAGCCAGAGCTCGCCGAATACCCCCCACCCGCACTGGCTCACCAGAAGGCCCGGCGCCAGCAGGTGTGTTTGGAGGTTTCAGCGATGCTAGGAACTTCTGAGGTATCTGTGGGGAACAAAGACTTAGACTCTAGAACACAGCACGCACGCCGAAACAGGCGCTCTGACGAGGCTCTCAATTCTGAATAGGCATGCGCGCACAGAATGCACTATAACGAGTACGCCAGGCAGAGACACGGGAGGTGGCCCAAGCAAACTGCGGATGACCCCCTTGGGGTCGGCTGCGCCGAACGTTTCACGGGAACCACTCAGTATAAACTACTCGGGGAGATGCCATATACCCCGACCCTCCGCTTTTCTTCGGCGCAGCCAGAGCGCTGTGTTCAAAGGAAGAGGGCCCGCCCGAGCTACCCAGAAGTTTTGAAAAACCCCCACACACCAACACCGGCCCACACTGGCCCACGCCAGCCCACCAGCCAGAGCTCGCCGAATACCCCCCACCCGCACTGGCTCACCCGGAGGCCCCAGCAGCCAGCAGGGTGGAGGTTTCAGCGAGCCCCGAGTGCTAGGAACTTCTGAGGGTACTCTGGGGGGGACCAAGACTTAGACTCTGAGAAACAACAGGCATGCACGCACGAACATGCGCTATGACGAGGGTCTCAGACTGAATAGGCATGCGCGCACAGAATGCACTATAACGAGTACGCCAGGCAGAGACACGGGAGGTGGCCCAAGCAAACTGCGGATGACCCCCTTGGGGTCGGCTGCGCCGAACGTTTCACGGGAGCCACTCAGTATAAGCTACTCGGGGAGATGCCATATACCCCGACCCTCCGCTTTTCTTCGGCGCAGCCAGAGCGCTGTGTTCAAAGGAAGAGGGCCCGCCCGAGCTACCCAGAAGTTTTGAAAAAAAATCCACACACCAACACCGGCCCACACTGGCCCACGCCAGCCCACCAGCCAGAGCTCGCCGAATACCCCCCGCCCGCACTGGCTCACCAGGAGGCCCCGGCAGCCAGCAGGGTGGAGGTTTCAGCGAGCCCCGAGTGCTAGGAACTTCTGAGGGTACTCTGGGGGGGACCAAGACTTAGACTCTGAGAAACAACAGGCATGCACGCACGAACATGCGCTATGACGAGGTTCCCAGACTGAATAGGCACGCGCGCACAGAGT